ATTTCACCTCTTCGGGGCAAAGATGGCCATGACAGCTAATAGTGGGGGAAGGGGGGGGGTCATGAACAATAAGATAGTGGTGGAGGAAGCAAGCATATCATGATGACGCAGGCGTTGTCGTTGCACAGGCAGGAAGATTATGACTTGATAATAATGAAGACACGAAAGGCTTCGAGGCTGAAGGTGGAAGGACAAAAGGACACAGGAGATGACAGACATGACAGACAGCGGACGTCACGCCTCCAGCAGGAAGAGTGCAAGAGCGGGTGGGGCCTGGGAGCACGTCTGGCCTCGAAGGGATAAGGCGAATTGATCACCTTTACTCTGATCCTCAGCTTCTTCCGTTTTGCATTCGTCTTCTGCATCTGCCGCTGGGGTGGCTGTGCTTAGTGAAGACCAGGGTGAACTGTGACGATAAATTTCGTTTTACGATTATATGAAGTTAATTTAGAGTTGGTGAAAGGACTAGATTGTTAGATATTAAGTATACTGTTGTTCATGATTTTTGTAAAAAACAATTGATTTAGGTTTTCATTTGCGTCTTTTGGAAGATATTTATCATCGGAACCCTATACTACTGTGAAATCATTTTATGCATTTGTTTGTCCACATATATGTTAATTAAACAGTATAGTTTATTTACAGTAAAATAAGACTTCAGTAGGAAAATACATATGGGCCCACTATATCAACATGTTACCGCTTACATACTCTAATATCATAACTTCCATTGTTGTTTATACGTTACTTTGTCATGATTATATATGAATTTTAGTTAAATGTTGTTAATTAAGCTGTTATAAAAGTTTAACAGATAGTGTATTTTTTTCTTTCCTTGATTTTTTTCCCTAATAACTCATTAGTCATCTTAACATAAACTACAAACTTTGCCCGAAAATGTCGATTTCGTGTAAACAAAACTAATTTGTATGAAGAATAATGCGGCTACAAAGTTCGGTGACCTGTGACTAGTCCCATTCTCGTTAAACGTACGGCTTGACAATTGGTTTTCCGTCCTAATTGTCATGGCACATGCCCACGAAAATTGGTTAATTGTTCCCTTGACTGAAGTTTCCGATCGCGGGCGGCGCCGGCCAGAGCACGTGGCAGCCGGACGCGCGCTCGTGGAGTCGTCCGCGTGGACCCTCAGGAGCCCCAAGTAAATTCGCGGAGGACTATGTTCGCGGAAACGGACGCGTGAGGTGCTGCCATCTGTCATGCGTCCACAATACTACTTTTCCTGGCGCCTGAAGAGTAGTTTTGATTCACAAGTTGGCCAGGGCTGCCAACCTCCTCCCGAAGTGGGCTGAAAGGGGGATCTGGGCTCAAACTTTGCTCTTGAAACCGGATCCTGAGACGAAGTTTTCTGGAATATTCAATAAAGATGTTTTCCATTTACTGTTTTTTAGTAGGTTCCTCCTCAGTTTCGCACGGGCACAAGGACATATATGTTTCTGGTGTAAAACCGGAAGAATCTTAGAAAAAGAACTGAAACAAGATGTAGGAAATATCGATCGACGAAGAGGCCATCGTGTGCTTCCGTGTGACGTTCGCTCGCCGGGCCCGCAAGGCGAGTGGGCGGGTGGGTGCTCCCTCGCCGGGTGGGGTCCGAGGAGGGAGTTCTTTAACATTTTATCGCTCTTCATTGTTTTTCATCATGCATGCCAAGGCAGACTGATATGATCAGAGCTCTTTCACATAGAATCGTTCACGAATGTTAATCAATCCCCAAGTCCCGGTTTCTGGCTGAAGGGGGTGCGGCGGGAGGGGTGGTAGATTTGTGCATGCAGGGATTGACCCAGTGCATGCCGGCAAGCACAACGTTGCATGCGCAGGCAGAAGCGCCCGCTGCTCTTGAGGTTTTGTGATCAATGCTGAGAAAGAAGTATCTATTTCACTTACCGTCAGCTGGTTTTCTGTCGCCTGCTCGAGTGTCTTCAGTGCGTGTCTCCGCGACCATGTTCCTAATAGCCGACGGCCGCCCAGCTCCAGGCCGCCGCGCACCGCAAGGTAGGTTGTCATGCAGAGCTGTGGTGGCGTACCGGCGTACCGCAGCCACCCAGCCTCCGGGGCCCGCCTGGCCGTCATGCACGCTTCCGTCGCGGCCAGTCCCGTGGTGGCGACCCGGCTCTTTGTGTCATGTGTGCTTGCACATGCATACAATCATGCATACATTAATACGTGCGCACATAGCTACAGAAAATACATATATACATACATGCAACATAAAAAACACGTGTAAAAGTACAATACACATTCGCACACACACGTACACACACACACACACACATACACACGCACACACACACACACACACGCGCACACGCACACGCACACGCACACGCACACGCACACACACACACACACACACACACACAAACACACGCACACACATACTCAAATATTGATGTAAATGTAAGATATATATATGTATATATGTGTGTGTGTGTGTGAGTGTGTGTGTGTGTGTGTGTGTGTGTGTGTGTGTGTGTGTTTGAACACACACACGCATACACAATGTGCAATAATGATTTGTGTGACTATATTTTTTCGTAGCTTATTATTGATACTTTGGGAATATTATTCATAATTAATGTCAGCTAATTACCACTTTTTATAGTAATTGATTGCATTATCACTAATGGGAATTGTGGCCTAATAAGACGGGCGATTATCCGAATCTTTTTCCGATGAGTAATGGCAGCGGCGACCCGCAGGCGGCCGCTCGCTGCGTCGTCCTCGCTCGTTGCTCGCAGGAGTTTGTCGTTCTTGTATCGGCGCCAATTTTTGGAAATCATTTGAACACCGTAAAACATTTAGCGTAAACCCAGTCGTATCCGACGCTGGTCCATTAGGCTCAGGTGATTGCGTCACGCGGCAGCCGTGATTGGCAAGGGAATCCGCCTCTGTGATTGGCCGACGGGATAGTCCTCCTGCCAGAGCGACCAGTGACCAGGTAGTCCTTTAGAGGCCATTACTGGTCGGCTTTGTATGTGATTCTCGGCCTACCAATCAATGCAAACGTTGCACTCTGGATTGTGACACGGATTTATAAATAGGCGCCTGGAGGCAGGCTCGAAGCTTATGGGCTAAGCCTTCTTTTTTTGACCACGCACGCACCGCTCGCAGGCACGCTTCGGTCGTGTCTATCAAGGCCTGGCGCTCCTGCTGTCTCCACGAAGCCGCTCGTTTTCTCTTCGGTGCTTAAGCCCTGAAATGCGTGCGTGGGGCTCCAGACACCTGCTGGGGACTGTCACGGCCTCGTCCGCCACGAGATGCCGCGCTGCTTGATCTTGGATGACAAAACAGCTCAATTGTTTCAGACCGTTTGCTTCCTTTCAGATAATGGCTACAGAGCAATTAATAGATTGTAGTCTCACTGTTGTGTAGCAGTTTCGGTAAATTAGAGCGATATGATAAAAAAGATCATATAAGGTTGACTAGAATTACTTATCATTATTATTAATATTCTGTTGATGTCATTATTATTATTGCTACTATTACTATAACTACTACTGCTATTACTACTAAACCTGTTACCATTATTACTCATATTATTATCTATGTAACAAAATCAGCATTCTGATGATTATGAGCTGATGGTTGCTCATTATCATTACGATTGTTATCATTATTATTATCATTATCATTAGTGTTAATATTGTTGTTATTATTACTGTTATTATTATCATTATTATTATTATTATTATTATTATTATTATTATTATTATTATTACTATTATTGTTATTATTATTATTATTATTAATATTATTATTATTATCATTATTGGTATTATGAATATCATTATGAATATTATTAGCATCATTGTTGTTGTTGTTACTATTATCATTACTATTATTGTTATTATTATTATTGACATTATTATTATTATTATTATTATTATTATTATTATTATTGTTATCATTATTACTTTTATTAATATTGATGTTGGTTATTATTATGATCGTAGTGATATGTAATATTATTAATAATAGTAATAATAATAATTAAAGATGGTAATAATAATAATGATAATGGTAGTAATGATAGTAATAATAACTAAATTATAGTAATGACATTGAGGATGATAATTATAAAATGGTATTTTTTTTTTTTTTATAATAAATATCATTTTCTTCTTTATCATTATCATTACTATGATGATGATGATGATTGTCAATGTAGTTGTTGGTGGCATTTTATCCTTTTTAACATCATTATCATTACTAACATTAATATTGGTAGTGACAGTATTAGTAGCAATGGTAATAGTAGTCAACATTAGTGGTTGTGGTATAAAGAGAATTGCTATTACTAGTATTGATACTATTTCTGCTGTTTTGGTTCTTTTTTTTTAGTGTCATCAACATCAACTGCTACTTCTACTATTAGGACTATTGTTATTATTATTATTATTATTATTATTGTTATTATTATTATCATTATCATTATTTTTACTATTATCATCATTATCTTTATTATTACCAGCATTATTATCATTATTGTTGTTTTGTTGTTGTTGTTGTTATATTGATTATAATTATTATTATCAATATTATTAATATTATTATCGCTGTTGTTGTTGTTGTTATTATTATTATAATTTCCGATATTATTATCATTACCATTATTATCATTATCATTATTATTGTTATTACCATTATTATTATCATCATTATCTTCTTTATAATTATTACAACTGTAATTATAACTGTAATCATAATCAAGTGCAATCATTATGTATTATTATAAATTGTTACTATCATCATAATTGTAGTTAATTTTTGTTATCAATACAATTGTTGATATTCTTTTTTCCTAATGATTATGATTATAGTAGTTAATTGTTATCATCAATATAATTACTTTTTTATAATAATTATAATAATAATGCTAATATCAGTTAGTAATATCATTATAATTATTATTCTTAAAAAAAAAATAGCGTGAAGGTCATGACTGAAAGTTATTGATAGTACTAGCAATGATGATGATAAAG